CATACTGCACTGGAAATGCTACAGCTAGCTGCTGACGTTGCTATTAGTTTTGTAGATAACCATAAAAGAATGTAAATGACTGTGCAATGCAAAATAATACATATTAAAGTTTATAAAATAGCTTTCACATGAACCCCTAGGACATCTACGAGACTGGAGTCGTTTTAAGACAGCAGATCCATTTAGGTCTTAGTCCTGCTTGGACTAACATTTAGCTCATCAATCTAGTCAGAAATAAGATGTTTCTACAAGCTGAGGTCAATCAAAAGAAACAGATTTAACAAAAGCTCACTTTAAAGAGAGCTGTACTGTGCCCATAACATGCACGATCACTGACTTCATCACTTTGTCTTAACTGAGGTTGTAAGGATAGGGGGCGTTACAGAAATGTTTGCATGTATAGATATAAGGTAGTTGGAAACCTAAAGCAAGTGAAAGAATGAACAACCTGTAAACATATCCACCCACTTCTGCTTTTCTTAGTCATAAAGAAAGTGTCACGAGCAAAACGAGGAGAAATTTTGAAGAAGTAAAGAAAAGCTGAGGTTTCACAACATCATTACAGTAAGCTGAAGTGGTGAGAAGAAAGATAAGAGTAGAGTTGCCAGAACAAACCTGCTTCCCTGTGAAGCCTTGGCAGATGACCTTTGTGTTCTTATTGATGTAGATGTTCTGTCTCGTCCCTGTATAACAGTGTCGGACTCCACTGTGCTGCACTGAAGGATTGAAAAAGAAGAGAAGGAACACAAGCAGTCAGCTGTAAGATTAATTCACTTAACATGACTTGGAGACATGTTTGTGCTGTGTACGAACTCATTTTAAACTACTCTGCCAAAATTAATCAAAGAGATCAAAACGTTGTAAAATATGATTTTCCTTAACATTCCAAACACACCAGAATTCATTCCCTTCACTGTAGCAGTGAAACATTTACACTTCTCTTTGAGGACATTAGCACGTTAGCTCTGCAGAATTTTGACAGTAATTTCTTGCACAGTTGCCGAGCAACATTATCAGCTTTCCCCAGACTTGACCACTACATTTTACAAAAACGTGACCAAAAACACTCCTGTGATTTAAAAAAATGAATACTATAAACACATTTAAACGGTTGTTTAAGCTGTGGAGCTCTTCACATGTCAAAAGCTGTATAAACTAAACAAAGATGCATTTCAATGTCAGCACATCCGCCTCCAACACACACATTCCCTATAGTTCACGTCAGTATCACGGCTGATCCAGAGTCTGTATAAAGCAAATATTAAAATGCACTTTCAAAATCCCAGGCTTGAACATACCAGGTCTAAGAAATAAAATAATAACTGGAGAACAACTGATGCAACAACAGCAGAAACAGTAAAACTAGCTCTCAATTTCCTGCAGACAAAACAAATAATTAGACAAATGTTTCAACAGTTAGAAAATGAAAAAAAATAATAAATGCTGAAGCTAACACAAAACAGAACAATGCTTTATCAAATCCTACAAAAATATGACTTTAGTGCTTCTTCATTGATCCATTTGTCGATCAACAGAAATAAAATGAACACTGGGGCATTAAAATCGGTAAATTATGCCAGCTAATTATTGAGCACAGACTTTATCAACTTCTGAAATGTCAACTTCATCTCTGGGAATGTGAGGAGGCTTTTGTTTCCCACTGTTTTCTGACATTTTGTGAACCAATTTACTAACAAATACTAGAAGTAGATAAATAAATAAGGATCTGGCTGCTGCCTAAAACTTTTCCTTCATATGATGCAGGTAAAACAGACAACACGGATCTCCATCATGACTCATAACCAGGATGTTAACAGCTGCAACCCCACAGGTTTCTATTGAATATCAAAATAAAATCTATGAAAACAGCTGAAATTATGAGGTATGGAATATTTATTTATTTTTTTACCCAAAAAAGTGTTATGACAGAATGGAAAATCAGGAAAAATGTGTATGTTAATTTTAAAAGTGCTTAAGCAGATATCCTAACACCACAACTAGTTCCCTTTGTCTGAGAGTTTGTTTTGTCAAATGTGAGTCAAATCACAGAAATTAAAAATAAATGGCAGTCAACATGTAGGATGAAATGAGGAGAAAGGGTGATGACTGGTTAGTGACTTTAACTAATGTTTTGGAGATTCAAAGTTTTATTTCTTCTACACTTGACAAAACAACTTAGTCTTATGTTTCAGCAGGTAGTTGAGATGGTTTGATCAACATGTTCGCAGGAAACAACCTGCTGCTGCTCAAAGACTGACCTTTACTCCTCAGAGTCTCTCAGATGGCTGAACATTATCTCTGTGCAAAGTTCAATCGCTCTATCCAAGAAAAACCATTAATAAAAACGTCTGTTACAAAGTGTAGAGCAATTAAACTGCAAACCAAGCATATTCAAACTAGCAAACTAAGCTAACATTTTTTTACTCAAATAGCAAAACCCAGAGTGCTATATGCAACGCTCATTTATTTATTTATTTTTAAATCAACCAGCTACACCGACAAAGTAGTTTTCTTACACTTATTAGAAATGCTCAGTTTATATGAGATGGCCTTGAAGAGGCAAAGTTAGGTTTCTGTGAAGTTAGCCAGTTAACTTAGCGGCTAACGTGCTAATGTGACAGCCAGGAGTTTTGCTACTCAGTGCAAGGTAAAATAAAATGCCCGATAAAATGATCTACGCATCACCTGAACAGAGAAAAAAGCCATTACTCTGTCAATGAAACTACCAAAATGTAATATTAAGAAATATTTCAATCGTAGTGTGTTAAATACTTACAAAGCAGCCTAGCAAATAACCTGCTGTGAGACATTTTCGGTCATTCACCAATGACACCAGAGGCTGAGGACCTTCCCTGTAAAGTTTAGGTGACTTTGGATATCCCTGTAAACTTTACATTTTAAATTAACTTCAAAACAGGTGTTTATTAAAGTAAAAAGATTGAGTAAAATATAGTTGTGTAGATTTTAGAATATAAAAACTGAAAACCAGACAAGACACGCCATTTATTTTTGGTTCGTGTTTATTTCTAGTTGTTGTTGTTTTTTTACTACGGCGGTGCGGTTGGATTCTTAAACAGAACTGCATTCTGGTCATTGAAGTTTGTCACAATTCATATAAAAAAAAAACAGTCAGCACTAGAGGGCGCCACAATTTAATGGATATTGTTAGAGAGGTTCAGTGAATGTCTCAAATAAACGATAAATACGGTATTTATCTCCAAATGAAGGTTAAAAAAAAACAACACACACATTTAGAAAAAATATGTAACATTTGTGTCAGTTGTTGTTGTTCTTATATTCCTAGATATATGTGCTGCAAACACTTAAAACAATGTTATAACTGTATATTAAAGAATATATTTCAAATTATTGCAATAAAATAACTTTATCTTTACTCCAGTCGTTTAAATTTTAAAAAGACTACCACCTAAATTATGACTATTTTATTATTCCGAGTTAAAATTAAAATCAAGCCAGTGTATTATTTTGTCAATTCTGAAAGTTAAACTCATATTACATAGATTTGTTACTTTTCTTCTTTTCTTTTTTTTTTTCATTTTATTTCATCTTTATTTAACCAGGCATAAACACTGAGAACAAATTCTTATTTACAGCGCTGGCCTGGCAAGCATCAGGCTCTTGTAGGGTCAAGGAAAGGGAAACAATATAGGCAAAATAATAAAATACAGTAGTCAATAACAAGCAAGGAGAACACAAATTACATTAACAACAGTTTATTGTCAAACTTAAATGGCAACATTAATAAGCATGAAAACATTTGCAAGCATCTTTTAACACAGATTTAAACTAATTTGAACAGAAACTGTGAGGCCGACTCAAGTTTTTTTAAAGTAGATTCCTGCCAGATGGAGCAGCAGAGGCAAAGGCCACAGAACCAAAGATGAGTTAAATATGGAGGTGACAAACCCAGCAACGTCTTATAAAACAATGAATTTCACAACAAGTATGAAGTCCATTTTTACAAGAGAGTAGAGGTGACAAAACCAAAAAGTTGTGTCTCAGAATAACATAATTTATTAGAATAATATGAGTTTCCGTTTTTGAAATTATTGACTATATTTTTTCTTCCTGTTAATGACAAAATACAAAACCAGTTATATCAGATTTCCGTAACTGATATCATGTTTTGTACCAATTTTATTCAAATGCAGTGTAAAATAAGTGATTATCTAGCTGATCGTTCATATGAACGTCTGAATAAGAGCTGTATCACTGGAGATAGAGCACTGAATGTAAAATATCCACCAGTATTAACTATTTCAACGTGTATTTTAAGATTTACCTATAAACAGCAAACATGTACTCTAAATTATGGTCTGTCAGTGAGGTAAACAGTAGAAGTTGAACAGGTTGCAGGTTCAACTCCTACCTCATTATTATGCTCTTATCACCGATTTTACCTGAGAAATTGTTATATTTAATGTTCTGGTGAAGATTCTCAGTCATCCAGGACATGATGAATTCAAAAAGCGTTCAATACAAAAACAACTGGACTTTATTTGTAACAGAAGACGTTTCTAAAGAATATATATATATATATATATATATAGTTATAAAGAATATATTTAATGTTATTATAATTTTGTTTCAGTGTCAAAAACATTAAGGAGTGTGACTTTATTGTCAGATGTTTCTGCTTCTTATTGCCACCCTCATTTTGTTAAATCCGATTAATATGCTGTACTGCTTTTACCTGTTTTTAATCTGGATGTAGGTTACGTAATCACGCCACACTTTTTAAAAAGGCCAGTCACAAACCCTGTATTCGAGTTGACCAATCAGGAAGCACCAACTCCTCCGACGCTGATTGGTCGTCGCTACAGTCACGTGTCAAAATTATGCCTATTCACAGAGGCGTTTACGCTTATGTTCGTCTGCTCTCGCGTTTTACGGGAGCTTGGTTACGTACCGGCGCCAAGCTGCGTTTAGAAAAGAGCGCAGCGACACAAACGAGCGACAGGAACCATCCAAGTCAATCACAAAACCCCCGGCCCTGCCGAGCAATCCAAGATGGTTTTCGAATCTATCTCGAAGATAATTAAAGTACAACTTCCGGCCTACCTCAAGAGGCTGCCGCTTCCGGAAACCATCGGCGGATTCGCAAGGTTAACAGGTAATTCAGAGCAGCTGAAGAGTTGTCACCTGCTGCTAGCACGGAGCACTTACCTGTAGCATCAAAATTAAACTTTTATAAGTAACACTGTTCAGACTTTTTCACTGCGTGAAACTCCAACCAAGGCGTAGAGAAACTTTGCATCTTCAAACCTAAAAGTTAACTATAAGTGTCTACTCTTCTCTAGAGGCTAAGCAGCTTTAAACATTAACCACAACAATAATTACAATCTTAAGGTAACCAGATGTGGTTTTATTTGTTGTGTGAATTAAGATAGTTCGAGGTCTCAGTTAGATCATAATGTTTGTTGTTGTTTTCCCTTCCTGGAAAAACAACAACAACAACCAACGTTGAATGAAACATAGCATTAATAGACTATCACGCTGTGTACATTTACTTCCCTGATGTTTTGTTTGAGTGAAAATTCATGCAGATAAAGAATCTCTCCTGCAAGTCGACACCTAAAGGAGCTGCAGCACAGGAATATCCAGAAAAAGCTGCAACACTTTGAATATTTCACGCAGTTTGCATCCCCACGTCCTGTGGTCCAAACTCTGTAGGCCTTAGCTTCACCTCCTCAGAGCTTGTATTTTATTACAATACGTCACAATTCATCTGAGAACTTCTAGAGCTGGGTTTTCTGGATGCTATTTACACAAGCATGGACTGCTGATGTTCTTATGAAATCCAAAGACCCAGGAAAAGATAATAAGTTGGTCAGAAGTACGAAGCGTGGTTGCCAAATAAAGGCCTGTTGTTGGTTTAAAAAAAAAAAATGTACATCACTGACCACTTTTCATGCTGGAGTGTAACACTTTGATCAGCTTATGAGAAATGTCTGAAATGTGGTCACACCTTGTAAGCAACGTTCTGGTCTCGTGCAATACTGTGAAAAGACTGTTGAGGATTACTCTCAGCTACTACCACGCCAACGTTTGGCTGCGTATCTGTAAAATTGTTAAAGCCATTTTTGTGTTTTGCTAAGGTTGCTTAGCTGTGGCAGCTTGAATGGGGTTGACTCCAAAAGCTAATCAGTTGCAGATGTTTATGCAAAGAATACTTTCAGAGAGCTTCATTCAAATCTGTCCAGAGGGTCATGAGCTATTTCGCCAACCCTACAGACAAACGAACATGCACATACACTTGTAGGCAAAGACATGAGCAGCCTGTTGCCTTCGGCGTGGGCGATGACGATGTAAGAATCACAGTGGCGCCACTGTTGTGCGTGCAGATAACCTTCAAGTCAGGCACATCATAACCCTTTTTATCAAATATAAGTTTGCATTTTTATGGACAACAGTCAAATGTTACAGTTTTGATTAATCCTCACTCTCCCCCTCACTTTAAATGGGGAAGTCTCATCTGTACTCCTGTTGCTGGTGGACACTATCAGGTGGAGGATATCAGAAGATCCAAATCACATCTGAACTCGTTCTCTCTTGTCAGCTTCAGGATGTCTCCATGCAGCTTCCTCACATTTCACGAGGAAACGAATACAAACAAGATTCTGATTATTTTTAGTATCTAGTTCACGTCTGATCAAGGAAATCCTCATAACCTCAATTGTCAACAGCAACCCAAATCCACTCGAGTACCACATATGACACATTATATGCCTGTTGACTCGACAAATTATGCAGCTATCTATAAATGGTAAATGAACTGTACTTGTATAGCACCTTTCTATCTTATCAAGACACTCAAAGTGTTTTACAACACAATCTGTGTCCTCAGTTACCCATTCATACAGCACTCTATTAGATCTATACAAAACTAATTGTAAAGAGTCTAATCAGTGCTTTTAAATCACATTCATACACCGACAGGACACACATCAGATGCATGAGGGGTTCAGTGTCTTGTCCAGGGACTCTTCAACAAGGTCATTGCTTGTCTCGCTGATAAGTTCTGTTCCACACAAACTAATTTTATGAAACTTCATACACGCATGCATGTGTTGTATGTTGTATGCTGTTGGAGTCAGCCTCTCCACCATCAGACATTTACACCTCTAGATGCAGGAACAGAGTTGCCTGCATCATGAAGGACCCCACTCACCCAGCACACACTTTTTGCCCCACTCCCCTCAGGAAGGAGGTTGAGGAGCATTACATGTAGAACCACAAGACTCAGGAACAGCTTCTACCCTGAGGCTGTTAAACTCATTAATCTCTAACCAGGATAATCAGTGTGGAAAAATCACATCATGCTGCTGATCTGTTTCATGTTGCTGCTGATCTGTTTCATGTTTCTCCCAGTGGTGGAGAAAGTACTCAAACACTGTACTTAAGTAAAAGTACAAATAAAATGACAAAAATGTACTCTAGTAAAAGTAGAAGTACCACATTAAAGTTTTTACTTAAGTAAAAGTAAATAAGTACTTGCTTTTAAAAATACTTAGAGTAATAAAAGTACTTGCTGAATGTATTACCTAATGCAATGGTCTACATATCTTTAAATCTGCCTACCGTATGTATATTTTCTGTAATACGTTAATAGTGTTGAGCCATTTTAATGAACAACGCTGCAGATAATACATGTTTTATTGTGACACAGTTCACACTTATATAATCAAGAACTAGAACAAGTTAAGTGTATAAAATATTTGGGTATATGGTTTGATGAGAAAATCTTGTGGAATGTACATATACAAAAGATTATTGATGAATGTAAAAAAATCATAAACATGAGATGTTTAGTTGGGAATGAATGGGGTGCAGATAGAACAGCATTAAAACAAATATATACGGGACTTATCAGATCAAATATAGATTATGGTTGTGTAATTTATGGATCAGCAGCAAAAACACATTTAGAGAAACTGGACAAAATACAATACCAAGCATTAAGACTATGTACAGGAGCATTCAAAACCACCCCAGCAGCAGCACTTGGAGTAGAAATGGGAGAAATGCCGTTAGCAATAAGACGAGAACAATTAGCAATAAACTACTGGATCAAGCTTAAAGGAAATAACCCAGAACACCCAACACTAGATATTTTAAAACCATGCTGGGAGACGGAGAAGAAAGAGACAAGAAGTTTTGGATGGACAATAGACCAGAAAACAAAAGAAATGCAAATAGACAACTTGGACATCAGCCCAGTAGTACCAGTACCAACAATACCACCATGGCTTCTTCCAAATGCAACTGTTGACTTGACACTCATGGACAAGAAAAAAGACAGAAAATTTATTTTTAACTCGTATACAGTACAGGACCATATCAATAGCTACTATAACTATATACAGATTTATACAGATGCATCAAAAACATCAGAGAAAGTAGGAGTGTCATATGTCATACCAGAATTCAACATAGAAGTAAGGAAAAGAATCACAAATGAAGTATCCGTGTACACAGGGGAGATGTTGGCAGTACTGTTGGCAGTGCAGTGGGTAGAAGACACAAGACCGTTAAAAACAATCATCTGTTCAGACTCGAGCTCAACACTTATCAGTTTGCAAAATAGTCATTCAGATAGCCGACCGGACATTTTACTAGAACTACAACAAACATTATTTAGAATACAAATGATGGGACTGACAGTGATATTTTTATGGACACCAGCGCATCTAGGGATCAGAGGGAATGAAGCAGCGGACAGGGCAGCAAAAGCAGCAACAAAAGATCAAATCAATTTTACAATATCCATCAGTAAATCAGAAGTAAGAACCATAGTGAAACAAAAACTAAAGGAAAAATGGCAAAAACAGTGGGAAGAAGAGCACAAAGGAAGATGGTATTACAGAATTCAGAGACAAGTGGGAGAAATGAGAACAGGAGGAAGAAACAGAAGAGAAGAAAGACTAATAACCAGAGTAAGATTTGGACATGCAGGACTTAATAGCACACTACACAAGATTCAGAAACATGATACAGGACAATGTGAGCACTGTGGACAGGAGGAAACAATAGAACATGTCATTTTGGTCTGTCAGAAATATAAACATCACAGAAGGCGTATGATGGAACAATTAGGAAAAATCAAAGAAACATTTAGTATAATAAATATATTGCAAAAGGAAATAAGAAGTAAAAGTATTCAAATCATTATACATTTTTTTCAAAAACACAAAATTAGATAAGAAAATATAAACATACAGACATAGCCATTTTGATCCACATTCCATACCAGTAGGTGGCGGTAATGCACACCTTCCGTTGTTTGCCAACCGCCATAAAATCCCATGAAGAAGAATAAGAAGAAGACTGTTCATACTTGGACTTGTGATTCTGTGCATCAGAATTTCAGGGATGATGACCTGCAGAGTTAAATGTCATTAAGCAAAATAAGAAAGAGAAATTATTATACCTTTGAAAGTTTTTATTTAACTCAAATTCAATTCAATTCAAATTCAAAAATACTTTATTAATCCCAGAGGGAAATTATTTGTTGTAGTAACTTGTTATCCTCATTTCATTAAGAGATGTTATAAATGCTGATGGCTGTAGACAGAAAGGATCTCTTGTAAAGGTCCATCCCACAGTGGATCCTAAGAAACTGGCTGCAGATGCCGTCCGATCCGTCCACCCAGACTCGGCTGTCCTCTCGGTTCCAACGGGCTGTAGGACCGCCCGAATGCCGGGCAGAACTCCTCCCAGAGCGATGGCCACTCCTCCCAGCAGTCTGCCGAGCTCCTAGTCGCTGTGGACAGCCAACTGTAGGTGCTGAGGGACGATCCTGTCTTTCCGCTGTCATGAGCCGTGTTTCCTGCTAGTTCCGGGATCTCAGTGGTCAGACACTCGAGCACAGCTGGCAGGTAGATGAGAATGCATCCACAGAGCATCCTTTTCAACTCATTTGAGATTTGGGGCTGTAGTTGAGATATTATTTGAGCTTTTGAGATGTTAATCAGTTGCTGTTGGTTTTAGAAAACTGCCTTGTTGCCATGGTTACGCATCATAACAAATGTCAAAAACTAAAAAAAGTTTCAGTAAAAATCCTTCCAGCTGCACAGCATCTGATACCAGAGGAAACAATCATCCAAAAAATGT